TATGTGGAATATCATCTTATAGTTTAGTCGTACGTGTGATGTTACGACTGCCGCTGACAGATCGTTGATGGATAATCCGTGTCGTCCGCTCGCCGGTTTGGTGACACATTGCATGTGTGAAAGTGTGTGAGACTGCATCCATCTAAAATAGACGTTTTTATTTAAGAACAATGCGCTAGGCGAGCGCCAGGCACTTCCTAGCGCGTCGGCGACGCTATGTTATTGTAAAACTTTTATTATTGTTTTGGGTTTTGGCTGGTACTCTTACTCAGCAATATGGTACGGTTGGGGCTAGCGATGGTAGTGGGTGTGGCGCCAGCACTGGTGTCTTGGTGGCGCGGTCAGGGTATATGGCTGCCACCACCGCTCATCTTGCCCTCGCCGAGCTCAGAGAAGGCTCCGAAGTCGTGGCCACCTCAGCGCTCGCCATCTCTGTCTGATTGTCTGGAGAGCAGCAGCGATGAAGACTCGTCGGCTCGATCGATTGTCTGTCTCGTTAGACCTAAAGTAGTGAGTACTTAGACACTATTTCAAATTAATATTGACATTTTCCAACCACAGACTCTTTGTCACTTAAATCAAAAAATGGAGAGACAGATACTATTTCTATTTTCAGTAGCCGTAAATAAGTTAGGATGTATTATATATTACCCAATTTTAGTAAATCGAACAAGAATGCGGTAATGAGGCAAACTCATTAAATTAATTAAAAATGCAAACGGATTTGCAGCAATAAACACTGGAAGTATTACAACATCGCGTAAGGATAACCACAATTAATAAAGCCGGTTCAGAAGAAAATAAACCTAACGGCAACTGCATAAGCAACTTTATTGTTTGCAGATACAGTACAGCAGTACAAAGAATGATAACTGGTCCACTAAGTGCGGTGAAAGCAAAAATTTTACATAATAAGAGACGATTTGTTACAAGTCGTAGTACATATATTATAGCTCTGTTGCATTAAAGGCGTCGGACGCGTGTGGTCCCCACAGCCCACAACACAGGCGCCTGGCTCATGAATCACACAGGACACTTTAATAATTTTATTCTAAAAATATACTCTTCTCGTCAAACTCCCCTCAACGTGTCTTTTGATTTAGAGCGATATAATCGTTGATGTTAATGAGTACGTGTGTCCTCTTAAAATATTATATATAGATAATATCAAAGCGGTACAAGATATTTATTTATGTTATCGACTATTTTGTGAATTAACCGATGCAACAAAGCGTTTAATTTTGCTCACCAAATGGTGATCCAGTTCAATGTCGGGTCGCGATGTATTTATACTATTTATATCATTATCAGTGAATATCGTTTGGTCGTCGTCAATAAATATGGTGGCGACATCGATCATTCACCTTTGCTATTACGAAAGCGCATCTCACGTGCGTTGGCGACGGTTTCGTGGCAGCAGATGCGTCGCAAATGTCACGATATTTACGTCCGCGTACCGTCGCGTGCGCACCTCACCGTCCATCGATCCCGTTCGATATCCTAACAGTTAATCGTCCGCAATCGGTTTTTACGTAGCTCTCTGCGACAGTCGCGTGGCAGAAACTATCTCAATAATTTTTCCCGCGTGCGGTCAAGTTGCGTTTGCGCAGTTTTTGCGTCCGTTCCATACATCTAGCCGTGTGTTCGACTGCTCGTCAATCAGTGCTTGCCGGTTTGTGCTTCGGTTTAGTGCGTTCTATCGATAAGTGCGCGTTACATTCTTACTATCAAACATAATTATATTTAAACTTTTCTAGTACGAAATAAGTGTTTTCCTCGTCTGGGTTATTGACACCTTTCTACTGATTTTTTTTTATGATTTATGATTGGACATAATCGAAGGCAATAGCATCAATAAATCTTTTAAATGTAACGTTCTAATTTATTCGTGTTATCATACTGTGGAATTCCGAGTCTTGATTATAATTACCAATGTGATGACTAGTAAGCAGTAAATATTAAGAACAGCGGAGAATTTATTACCATTAGGGCCCATTAGGCCTATTGAGGCTATTTTAGGGCTAATAGAATGAGACATTTTATCATAAATAAATATATTTTTAAACTATAATATCATCATTTTCTTAGGATTATGTAATTAAAACATTGATTATTGTATTATGTGCAAAGGTAACTCAAGTAAACTTCTTAATTATTGAATTTTTAAGCCAGTCTTTATCTTCATGACTTAAATAGTTAAATCCTTGAAGATAATTAAGAATATATTGTCGATTTTCACCTTCCACATCCTCTATTGTCGACGTTTTTGTACACTTGTTCTAATATGCACCTTCAGTGTTTGAGTTAAGGTGCACTAGAAATATATTTTACAGCATATTATTAGATGTCCAGGGTATTGTGTCAGATAATGTAGCCGTGACGTCCTTGCACCTTTGTCTGAGGTCCGCTGTGTGACCGAGAGAGTAGAGAGCAAGTCTACTAACATACATCTACACACATAATAAAAACGTAGAAAAGTCTAATTTGTACATTGAATATTTTTTTAAAAGAATACTTGTAGTGTGATCTACAATCGATACCGAAGCTAAAAATATAGTTTTTAGAATTTTTCTCTGTTTGTCTGTATGTATGAGTATGTCCGGGATGATCTCCAAAAGTACTGCATGGATTTACTTCAGTTTTTGCATGAATATTACTAACAGGTCGAGTCAACATATAGACTACATATTATCACGCTATCAACTGCGGGGAAGGAGCTGTGAATCACAACTCAACGCTTACGAAGTCGCGGGCAACAGCTAGTATTACATACATTAATATAATATTATCTGGTAGACCGTAAAGTTTATTGTGACAAAAATGTGGTCCTTTGATACACAATTAATTTAAATGGACCGAAGGACCAGAAAATCTGGTCCTAATATTTTATAGTGCCCCTTTTAATTTAATCGAATAATTAATTAGATGATATTTTCCTCTACATATTTATGTATATCTAAGAACGTGTTTAGATCAATGCCATAACAAATGTAACCTTTATTTGGAGGCCTTAAACTTTTGACCTTAACAGTTTTGCAAGGAAACTACAAAAATTGCATGACGATTCGAAACGATTGTTGACTAACAACCTTTGCTAGTGAAATAGAGAATGCACTTTACTTAACTGACTGACTCGCCAATGTCAATGGCGGTTTTAAGTACAAAAACTAGTTTAATGTATTATTACTGGTAAACCCGTTTAATCTTTCATCATCATCACCAGCTTATAGAGATTCGTTGCTGGACAATGGATATAAGCCTCTACTATGGCTATCCCTATATCCTATTTTTCCGCATTTATTAACTTTAGTTTTAACTCGGGAAAAGGATAAAGATTTCACCGGAAATTGCTCTCTCTCAATTCCATAATTTGCAATCACTTCTTTCACTTTTCTCCGTTTTACACTACGTAATCGTATTGCGACATTTCCTCTAAAACTGCATCTAGTTTGTCTAGATCTGTAATAGCGTGATCTAATGCAATAAACGCAGGTTTAACCAACACTTTAACTAACAGTTTTATAGCTCGCGAACACATTGCTCACGTATACTTGATGCCAATAGAAATCGAAAATCGAAACTGATTTAATCAGACACTACGCCCTTCGTTGTATAACTCGCCCTTTTTGTGAATCTATTTTACGTAAGCCTACTCGCTAACCCATAGGATCCTAAATATTATAAAATTATACTTTTACACTTAACTAGGTTGTGGGGTGTAGGTGTTGTTTAGTTGAAATCGAAACTTTCAGTCAGTTATTTTAATAAAATGAAACAAAAAATCAGCCGATTCGCTTGAAAGATTATTGACTTGATAGTCGCTTGGTTTTCAAACTTCCAGCGACGCTAATTGACCAAGCGATGTCTTTGTATTGCGTAATAAGCTTTAATTTTTTATTGATGATTTTAAAATTTTAAAATTATAGCCGGTCTTGTTTCGGATTACAACATAAATCATCCCTGAATATCTTTCATTATCAAACTGTCACACAGTCTTCCATGTTCCTTCAACATATTTGCACACCATTTGAACTCTCTCAGAATAATTTACAATAATTTTTAAGCCAAAAGTAGCCAAATCGAATCAGCCATTCTCTAGGTTAAGCCAGATACGTTAATGTTTAATAGATATTAATAATTTATTTGTGGGAATCACCGGTTGTTACGAAACGTCCCAATGGGCAACATGAGCGAGGATTGTTGGATTAATTTTGCTATAGTAGGACAAACGTAAGTTCATATTTCCTCTTTTGAAATAAATATGACATATTTATTATCCCTTATCTGCTCATACAGTGTTGTATGTTGTATGTAACATATTTTCCTGTGATAATTCAATATTCAATGTCACTAGTATTACAATTGTGTTTTTATTGTTCGTCACATCAGTCAGATTAACCAGTCAAGTATGTTTTAAAATATTTCGTATGATAACGCTACAATATCAACACAGTACAACATTATTTATAATATCACATTTACATAATTGTGTATAAGCACGAGAATACTTTAAAAATGGTGTGAATACTGGCATTGATTTTTTTAGCTGACCGGAATAAAAAGCCATTACAAATACTTTATATATACATTATTATTTCCTTATTATTATCTGTCTACCTGACCAAAACAATGCCCAATTAATCAGTGCGCTGCTCACGTGGAGACCGGAAAACTAGCCTCGTGCAGTTATTCATTAGTGCATCGTGTAGGGACTAGGGATCTAAACGTTGTTGGGGTACATCGATATATTAAAACATACAAAAACAACACATAAAAAAATAAAGTATTGTGGACCTCTTAAACTTAAAAGGAACCACCAAAAAACAAAAAACTGGAATTTTCAGGTTTTGGTCTTTGGCTTCGTATCGATAGGGCAAAGCTACATTAAATACCTATGTGCCTCTCAGTGGTACCTTCCCTACTCTAAAAGTGGTACCTTCTCTCCTCTTCCTTCTCGCAAAATGTAGTACTGGTAAGCCACTCTCCCCAATCTCTTTTATTCCTTAGTAAACGTATGAAAGCGATAAATTACAGAACGTGTGACGTATAGCCAAGTATGGCGGTCACTCGCAGTCAGTCGCAGTCGTCGCCGCAACCACACGCGTGCTGGTGTTGCCCTAACGAGACCATTATAAACACGACCGCGCGCGAAATTGTCATATTCTCTTAATGACTCAATTCTATTGTTCAGTGATAATAATCATAAACACACACATACAAACAATCATTGTCATAGACAAGTGCTACTGAAGAAACAATTCTCCAAATATCATAATAAATTTTGTTGACGTTAAAATAAAGAATGTTGGTCAAGGAGCGTTTAATAAAGTGGAAAACATCGGCGATAAGATAAAGCTATAATACCTCGACAATAAATGTTATCGCGACTCGCGCTAGGGTGCAGTTCGAGAAGAGCACAGTGCAAAAATTGCGTCCTTCCTTTCTATTCAAGTGGCAGAGACGATGCTGCAATCTAGTCGCCTGCGCACACGTAACATTTGTTGACGCATATGAAAATTTGAAAACAGTGCCGCGACACCGTTTGTTTATTTTCTACGAATAAGTGCAACATTAGCTGCCGGTAAACAGTGTCATTCATCATGGGGCAGCGCTCGGAAGTAGCTACACCTGACAATAGTGACGAGGAGAGCGGAGACGCTTTCACTGATGGAGACTTTGGTGACTCCGAAGAAGAAACTATCGTAGAACGCCATACTGACGCTAAGCCTGCGCACATGCCAATCAACGAAACAGTGAATGACGATGTTCAGAACACTGCTGCTACTAATGGGCACTCTAATGGTGGCGTCGATGAGCAGCTCCGAATGAATGGTCGTAAAAACAGTGAAGCTCACTCAAGTGATGTGGACAGCCAAAGCTTAGTGTTATCAGATTTGCGCAGAGACTCTCACGGCGAACAAAATCCTTCGATCGTTGGCATTCTCGGCGATCAGCAGAACCATGTACGTATAGCTAATATTGCATTAAAGTCATAGCATATCCTTCTTTGAATTGTGGGCTGTGTCATGCTACATCCGAAATATTTTCCGTTTCCCAAAACCATTTGCAGGTGAGTCACGTCAACCTGCGTCTGATAGCCTTCGCCTTTGCTTACTGTATGAACGTGTGCCTTATAATAATTTAAAGGTTAATTTAGTTAATAGTATCAACCGCGCCTAGGTGAGGATTATCTTATCTCATTATATTTCACTACGTTTTGTATGAATTGAAGGTCGTAGCCAAATATAAAATTGTCTCAGGTAAACAGTTCAGTTCAGCAGCCATTAAGTACGGTATGCTTTCAAAGGTATTTTTGTGTAAAATAAATATAAATTGCTTCATTTAGTGCCTTTAAAATCATAGTATAGTCGTGACTGTGTGATTTGTATAGTTGCGATAGTTTAGTGGTCAGCTTAGAACTGTAGTATGTTCATAATCGTGGCGGCGTTGCGGTGAGATGACCTCGTGTTGTTAGATTGCATCGATATGACGTTTCCGGAGAGCTTGTTAGCACTCGCCTGCAAACTCTTGCTCCTTTATGTAAGTCCCCTTTTCACCTCTAAATAAAATAACTATTGTTGGAGCGGATGTTCACAAATAATACAATTTGAATATAATAACGTTTCTTACATCTTCCAAGTTTGTAACATATAAAATGTAATACGTACCTACTTCGAGTTTATTGTAATAGTGAGTAAACACGTGACAACAGCTAAAGTCACTAGTGCGATGGTGCTGTCACGCCTGGTGGCTTGGTGACGGCAGTCTTAACCTCGCCATGTCGCCGCTGCAGTTTTTATTATGTATTGCCACTCGAATTTTAATTCTCTATGTAAGTAGCTTGCATTAATACTAATTTAGAACAAGTTTTCGCGAACATATTCGTTACGGAGATCTTGTAACTGTTTGGTCAACCACAAACGTCATATTATGTCCTTGTTGTCCTTACTGTCGTCAAACGACTTCAGTGACATTAAAAACGTTATAACTTTAACACAAACATGCCTCTATGAATGTTTGCTGTAAGATAATCTTGTGGATTGTGTGAAATATTTATCCGCATCGATGTTTATTTTAACTTTAAAGTTTAAACGTAGTGTGTCATCGACTATGTTGTACGTATTGGATTTAATAACTGGGATGTTTTCATTCAACACGTGTGCCGTCTTGTACTAACTAGCAACATGACGTGTGCTCGCTCACTGCTCGCTCCCTAAGCTCCAACACATCCTTGAGTTATGTTTGGATCACAATAACAACAATTAACGCTAAGCTAAGCAATAGTGACGATTTGTCACACTGTTCGCTCGTTGTCTTCACAAAGTGTGACAACACCGACAACTATTCTTTACAGGCAAATGACTGTGTCGTAATTCCAAAGAATTTGTTCCGAAGTTCCGAAGTAGGCATAGCGCGGCGCGTTTCTCTCTATCAACCCATTATTATGTACATTTTTCTGACATCGTATGTTCTAACTATCAAAAGACTGAACTTCTCAATTGTGCAACACATTAGTATGAATAGGTTGGGCAAACAGCTACCGGATATAAATACCATGTTTCAAATGAGCCAACCAATTTTCAATTAAATAGTCTTTAGCCAGTATTACATCGCGCTTTTGTTGTTCAAATCAAAAGCGTATTACAGCTGTAATAGCCTATTAGAGATAAATAGAATGGAACCATAGAAGCTTTATCTTTCAATCAGTTTGAAGTGCATTGGCAATAAAAATGTCGCCGGATTGGTAAACATTAGCGACGGGCGACCTGCCGCCTGCCGCTCGAGATTATCGCCCTTTAACTGGAACACTTCTGTTTATCCTTGCTTGTCAATAGCTGCTGTTATATCCATTGACAATTTGTTAATTGCCTTATAACGTGAATTTATTTTATATCCATTCGGAGGAAACGCTTTACCGTTTAAATTCAACTGTCCAAATGTCTGGTCCTCTTTTGGTATGATGGCTCCAACAATTGTCGCGTCCACGTGTTCACAAGGACCGGCAGCTGTGGGGAATGACCTTCGTATCCTTAAAGCATTGTGTCCAAGGATGATGTCACCGCCACAAACCTCACATTTTATTTACTTACTGCCATGTGGCGTGAATCATGTTTTAATGAATATTCTGTATTGTAAATATTTGATGGCAGTCGCTTATGACGTAATCCGTAACGAATCTTCTGTAAACTTTTCAAAAGATTTTCGAGACGATTGTTCTGAATATTATGTTTTATCGCATTTTTTCGTTATCATCAGCCGACCGGTGAGCTCATTTCGTAATCGATTCGTACATTAACCGATTCATATCTTTGTTTTAGGGCTTTGTTTTGTTTTATTTTTATTCTTTTCTTTGGACGGTGACAATTTCTTGTTCTTTTTTATTTATCTAATAACTTTTTCAATATTTTGGAGCAATCATCTTAGTTCATTGAATGCACTATGCCGTCTGGTCGGAAGACTCGAGATAAGGCTGTAATAATAGTTTATTGCGATGCAAACTAAGGAAGGGTAATGTTATCGCGTTGTTATATTACGCCACCACTTCCCGTCACCCGCATTTTACAGTTACTTCAAACTTCGCGCCCGCATACATGACGTCAACTGCGCATAATTTTTACATTATATCGCTTTGTCCGCTAATCATATCACTGTACTTGTGTTGAATTTATATGCAAAAAAAGTAGCGGAATTCTTGTTTCATTCTGCAACTCTGTAAATAAGGACCGTATTAAATTTATTTGTTTTCAAATAATAGATACCTACATACTTCTTTTAGTTTACAATAACATCAATGACTGTCGAATTTTGTTAATTGACTATGTACTTATTGTACCTATTTTTGTTTTTCTTTAAAATCACGCCAAACTATTGCAGTTTACTAAAATAAATCCTATTCATAATTTACAACCCATAAGTTTACCAACTGGGCATGGCTCATGTCTAGATAATTATGTGCACGTCAGGACTTCCCCAATTCGGTGTCCCAAGTTTCATGTGATGGGATGTATGATGCGTCCCAATGCTAAGTAGACACGGGACAAGCCCACGCCCACACAATGCTTTACGACATGGTTGTATCAATCTATCATACATAACATAGCTATTACAAAATTAGTCGCTTCATAACGGCCGCATCTAATTAATGTTCAGTCAAATTTTAAAGTTTTGACATTTTAATTGCTATAATTGTAGTGCTTGGTAAAAAGAAGGAAGTGTGTGAACTATTGCTAGCCCTGATTATTATAAAAAAGATACAAATGTTTTAGATGTTGTAACTATCAAGTTGTCTTATTTTGTAACGATACAATTTTCGCGTTATCGCCTCGAATGTTTTTTGAATGATTGCTAACTCCCTTGGTCTTTTTTATATACCCGAGCCTGCGTGACCACACGTCCAGCCAAAGACCGATGGCAGTAAACCTAACTAAAAGCTTTAAATGGTTATTTCGGTCCACGAGTATAATAATCTAGACTTTTACGATGTTATATCCAAGATAGCTTTTTCATGTAATTGTGTCAGGCCAGGCATTTACTACATTCTAACTACTGTAGATCCTCACTTGCCTGTAAGTTAGGCCAAGCTAGCATTGGTTGATAATATTTGGCGACTTACCCAAAAAAGCCATAAACGTTTTCCGTCATTAACGTGATTTTAATAAATATGAAGTACCTTCTAAAGTGTACTAATCAACTCTCATGACAAGCTAATCTTCTCATCAGCTTGAATGACGTGCAATGTTTACTTCCTCGCCTGACGAGACGTGTACTTAATCGTTCTCTTCCGACATTCTATTCCAACACCTTTCCAAGATTAAGTATGACATAAGGCCTTTATTAGCACTAGTTGTTTAATTATAAGTTAGAGGTCGTAAGATACAGGTCAGTGTTGTTTTTTTTCATCGTAGATATTTTATTACTGTCTAGATTTTCTTCTGATATCTCGTTAGATTACCACTGAATGTTTATTTAAGGCTTTGGCTGCCAATAAAAAACTGTTGAAGGCAAATCCTCCGCTAACGTCGGTCACCGGTGACTGCCATGGCGTTTAACATGTTATCCTGCTCAGTTTTTGTTGTTGCAGTTTGCCCTCTAGAGTTTAGACCTCCTTCCCTACCATTAATGTCAAACTATAAACTATCTTTACTTTTATCTTTATATTTTTATTAAATGCTGTCGTTAGGTTCCCCATGATTGCGATATTTGTAATAAATTTTCGTAAACAAATTCAACAATAAGAATTAAGAACCTGGAGGTGTTTCGTCTACTTCTTTCGTTTGAAAACATGTATTGTATGAAAACACAATCCCTAGAATTGTAGAATTATGTCTACAAGAGTGGTACTCTAAATACTGCGTTCTAGACAAACACTTGATTGTGCTATTAATGACATCATTAGATATTTGTGATGCAATACGTTTTCTTAATCGTATTGTGATTGTGAATAACGATATTTTATATTATAAAATTAAATATCCTTAGGTGCTTAAGACTGTTAGTAAAGGTGTTATTCCGTCCTTGCGACTTAATTAGTATTTAAATTGGCCCTTTATAGATATAGGTACTATAACTAAAAGGACTAACATTACATTATCTATGATACCCCTAACCAGTTTATTAATTAAATGACGGTTTCGAAGCTTAACAACATGTACAGTGCACAGATTACACTAAACGGTGTGCTAATTGAAGACGCGTAACTTACGATGTCCCGCCCACATCACTATTTGCGCAATCGCAGCCTCTTCACAACGACTTGGCAACGCTTTGAAGTATCATTATTATATCCACTAATCAGGTATTAAGAAATCGTATAGTTTAGTATTGTTGCCAATGTCGTGAATCACTGATGGTCAACTGAATTTCGTCTTATTTATGTCTAGTCTAACCTAGTCCACTAGACGGGTCGTCTGCCTGGGAACGAACTGGCTGAAGACCAGATATATAGAACATTTGTTCGGTTTTTATTGTCTTACTTTTTGTGAGTCTGTCAATTGTGGTTAAGGTGTGCACAAACATCATACAATTTTTCTTTTTTACTCTTCCCTCGAGATCCAATCCGATATCGCTGTACATGTGCTGAAACGCATCGAGCTTCAATATTTTGATGCTTATTTGAATAGACTCTACCGTATATCCTAGTTTGTTAATTAGGGTTACAGTGGTTAGGACGGTGTATCTATAGGATTTAAATTGTCAAACACCGCGAGGACACCGGTGACCGCAACCTATTGTTCTTTAATTGTGTCTATAATGACGGTACTCAACGAGTTAAGTATCCCTAAAAATACATTCACCATTCAGTTAACTATGGCTTCGTCTACTGCGATAGTCTTTCTCTCGTGTTGGTAGTTATATCCCAGTAGTGTCTAAAGTTGCGTGTATTTATCAATTCCAGGCGGAACAAAGGTTGGCGGCGCGGCGTGCGGCGCGGGCGGAGGCGCGCGAGATACGCATGCGCGAGCTGGAGCGCCAGCAGCGCGAACAAGAGGACCATGCAGACAAAGCGTATGATATGTATGCCGGGAAGACACCAGGTACGACACTATCGTCATTTTTATGGGATAAGATGCAAACCACGAGTTATCTGAAGGTAAAAAATAATCTCATGGGCACCTTCATTGACTTAAAAAAGCTTACAAGGACTTTAGGAAACCCAGGATTTAGAACGATACATCACCATTATACCGCGCCAACTATGTAATAAATAATAAACTATCCGGCTATTCTAGCTATCCTTTGCTAATTGGGAACCTTGACGATAATTTTCCTAACCAACCACCAAAATTATTTTGCCCACCATGTAGTTCGTGGTCTCCTTACTGATTTCTACACAGCTATAGATAAAAGACCATGACATAGCATGACATCTTTCATTATTGTTTGTCCTTTTTGTTCTGAAAACTTGTATCTGTCGCTTAATATAGACTACGTGTCCCTTTACCTGTCTATAATTTCGTTATTGTATCGTATTCCAGAGTCAGTGGGTCGTCGCGGCGGCACGCGGCTGGCGTCCCTCAGCCCGGCCGTGCACTCGCCTCGCCGCAGCTCCGAGGACTCCATGGATGACGGGTTCAGCGTCAAAGATCTTAGAGTATGTACCTACCATTCGTTATAGAAAGGAAATAAGGATACCATACAATATTCACCAATATCGTGAAACCATCATGTGTTTCGTCTAAGATAAGAAAAACTTTCAACTTTTAACATAAGCGTAATAATGATCATTCAATTGGCAATATGTATACCTACCTATGCATCTACTACAAACATTTTCTTTAATGCGATATTATTCTTGTTACTGCAGGATAATGAAGTAATGTCATTCGTTGTATTATTATTCCAGCACGAGTTGAAGGAAGTGGAGGAGAAGTTCCGTAAGGCGATGATCCTGAATGCGCAGCTGGACAACGACAAGGCGGCGCTCGGGTACCAGCTCGAGCTGCTCAAGGACAGGATAGAGGAGCTGCACGAGGAATATGCACAGTTACAGGTGATTAAGCCATCCTTACATACCCACCCTACTTCTTTAGGTTCAATACAATCACATTGATTACTTACATTTTTCTTCTTTCATTGATCGTAATCCTACTTTTTTAGTCTAATATTTAAATTACTTAATGTTTACAGCGAGAGCACAGAGAGAAATGCTCATCATTCGAGCGTTTGAAGCGGGAGCACGAGTCAGTGAGTCGCGAGCTGGGCGCGGCGCGCGACGCGGTCCGGGCGCGGGACGCGGCGGCCGCGGCCGCGGGCTTCGCCTTCGTGGACGCCGCCTCGCTGGACGCGGGCGCGCCCGGGGCCGCCGTCGGCGCCGTGCCCGCGCTGGCGCTGCTCACGCAGGCCGCGCATCAACTCCTCGACACCGCCGGGGAGGGCACGCTCGGTACTTCATTCAATAAACATTATCGAATACTAAAAGAAACGTATCGTTATTGTGCCAATTCCCGTCCAATGTCGGATAGATTTTAATATGAAGTAAAAAGACGCGATTTCTTTTAAATTTTATTTTTTAAATAACTTCACTCTATTTACTCTCTGAACACGTACACGTATTAACAAATCCTATGTATGTGTTCCAGACGTACGGTTGCAGAAGTTATTGAGTTCGAAGCAGGCGCTGGAGTCCGAGGTCCGCAAGCTGAAGCTGCAGCTCAACGAGGAGCGTGCCGCCAGGCAGAACGGAGTCACCAACCATCACGACCAGGAATACGAGAATGAACGTCAGTATTGCTATAAAAATATTATCTTACCATGACAACCAAACTGTTAAGAACAAGTTGTAATAGTTTTGCTATTACTTGATATCGAAGGTCGTTGATTTTACGAAGTACTTAACTGCAGAAGCCCTTATACCTAGTTTTGCCAAGTGAATTGTCTAGTCTAATAATTAAATATCATTTAGTAAAAATAGAGTTAAGTTAACAGTTATGGGCATAACCGTTGACAGCTTTGTTTACATAAGAGGGTTTGTCATGATCTCAATGGTTGGACTGTTAAGTGTAATGATATACTGATTGAATGAACCGTGTGACGGTGCGTGCAGTGGAGACCGTGCGCAAGGCGGTGTCGGAGGCGAAGGGCCGCGCGGCGCGCGCCGAGGCGGAGGCCGCGCTGCAGGCCGCGCACGTCGCGCGCCTCGAGGCGCAGCTGGCCCGTCTGCGCGCGCGCCAGGACCACCAGGACGAGCACGAGGAACAACTCAAGCACGAGCGGCGCCGGCTGCAGCGAGAGGTACCACATCTATTCTACTACATAGCGTTATGTTCATCCGCCAGTTAAAGACAAGACAGCAATCAAAAACAGCAAAGCTACCGACATATTCTTCCTAATGTTATGTTTACAGCATATAATTGTCTACTTACTTTTATGATGACAACGGTTAGACAATAGGTTTCTGTAAGAAAAAATACATGAAACAATTTAACTTTTCAGGAAGTCGTTGACTTCTGGGCCGTTATCAATAATGGCGACAGTTAACGGTACAGTCGCACCCTTTGCTCCCGGCGTGTGTCCCTAACGTACCGCTCAGCCACACAATAATGTTCCCACACTACCGCTACTTTCTTCTTACACTGTACATACTTTACCGGTTTACCCCTACCGCATGATATATGTAAAACTACGCAATTACACAAAATCGTTGTAAAATAAAATCAATAATATACTATAACTTGACCGCTATTAATGTCAATTTTTGCCTACAATATTGTATATAACGCTATCAACCCCGTTTGTGCAAAAAATGCCACTTATATCAACATACTAAGAGTTATACTCACATTCCAGGCTCGGGAGGCGCTCAACCGAGTTGAGGAGTTGGAGACTGAGAACAGCCACCTGACGAAGCGACTCGACAAGCTCAAGAACGCGAAGTCTGCCCTGCTGAAAGATCTGTGACAGGGCTGAGGTCGGTGTGAGGACGGAAACTGCGCGCCGTGCAGGGACGACACGCTGCCATGTATGGACGTACAAGAATATCAAGCTGACTGAAGAATTCAACATGAAAAATTACTATTTGTAAATGTAACTAACTACATCTACAAAACTACTTTATGTTATGAGCAATTGGAAAGTAAACATAACACGAGGACCTGTTTCACAATGTGTGATTCATTTTGTAAGAAAAATACGTCAAATTGTCATTGCAGACACTTATTCAGACATTGTAAGACAGGCTCTAAATAATTAACACTGTCAACATAATAATTTGAAGTTTTTTTTATTAATTATAATAATTTAACATGATCATTTCAACCTGTATTATGGTGATCACAAAATAATTTGTTATAAGTCCACATGCAGTATGTTTTTATTTAAACACATCTAAAAATGTATTGTGCGAGGATTGTTAAGATATTAATGAATGTAGTGAAGTGATATGTGGCGTGTATGTGAATGTGTGTGAACTGTGCAGGAATTCACGATGTTTTTATAAACAAATATTCAGTTATAAAAACATCGCGAATTAGTCAGAGTGCCGGCATTTCTACTGGAGATGTAACCATAAGTCATTTAGATGTAAGCTCGGCGAAGCTTATGTCGTGTGTAATATACTTATCAATACTCTGTTCGCTCAGACGTGACAACCCTGTAGGCTCTGTTATAGACTCCTGCATCTATATGCATTTCGGATAGTTAGCTAATATTATGTAAGATAATGTGACTGAATGCAGGCGCTGTCTCGTCGGAACCAACAGCTGTGACTGCGTGCAACATCTCTGTGAATAACTTGTAAGCAACACGTGGCCGACAGATACGAACACCACTACACAAAGATGTTGTACCCAGACAATACAAATAATACTGTGGTTGTATTATGTATAACCAACATATAACTATTGTAAATCGCTTTCATAATACAATATTCCCTGTAATATATGAGATAATAATGTGTATAATTAATGTTTTGTTTAATTTTAATGAATAATTATTTATTTTAACTATGTTCGCATTTTCTGTATAAATATGTAAGTTTTATTTAGCTTGCCGAATTCATTCGCTTTGTTACTAATAATATAATTGGAGTGATCGAGTTGTTACTTGCCATTGGTATCACACAGTCAAGTTAAGTTTTGAAGCAACACTACATCGCTTGTCATTTATTTATTTATAATGCGTTTATCTGTAATATAATTGCTCAAAATTGTATCCCATGAACTATGTGATAGTCTATTGAGAAGGTAAAACGTCCAATAGGATTAGGGACTCGAAGGCAGGAGTTTTCGTGGGACTGACCATTGTATTGTATTTTTTATATTTCGAGATTTTTTATTCACAATATCTACAAAGTTACCATGCTGTTTTACTGATGACATTGTAAATTATTTTTATCTTGTTATTATGACATTCTTTAATTACTTTATTGTGAACATTTCGACTAGATCTCGAAGTAGGAATGTAGCGGGAGTAAACTGAGTAAACAGTAGTTATTTATCTAACGATGTACAGGAGATTATCGAACTTGTCGCTTATATATAAATATAGTTGTTAGTGATGCTCACTTTAACGTACAGTGCCATGGCGCACCAAAATGTATTAGTGATACAATCAATCGTATGTGTATTGTAGTTACGAGTAGTAATGAATTGGAAATGCGGGTAGCGGTAGAGATGCGCGCTTGTCAGATGTTTATGTACAACGTATGCCTGTAACGTGTATGTATATCTGTAGATTTTATATTAAAATGTTACTCTTACGACGCGTTTGATTACAACTCTATAGTCAATTTATTATAAACACGCGGAACTTGTGAGCTGCAGATGTGCGCTGTATAAATTATAGCACAGTAGATTAGTTGACTGTGATCAGATAAGACCACCTCGACACCACCGACTTATTACTCTGGGCGCAGTCAGCTGACTACTTGTGCCCAGGTTCTGATATCAACCAATGTTCTGTGTGTTTCATCAATAATATATTTACAGTTGTTTTTGTGTCGTGCATGTCGACAGACCATATGCCTCCGGATATTAATGTCTTTTACCTAATAGTGCACCTGCATTTGCTAAATGCGATGCATTTGTCAGATGTAGTCGCACCCTAACAAAACAAGAGCCTAATGTATCGTCTACTCAGACTCCTCGGATGTCTGACGGGCCAGACAGTGTTTCTTCGGCCTGCGTAGTAAAGATCAATGTCAGTATAATTTGTAAGTAGGAACGTAATTTTTTTTAAGTACGATGTATGTATTTTGGTGCTGCATTACTAATTTATTTGTTTTCAATTTAACTATGAATGACCAACTGTCTTTTTATATGAAGCGAAAGAGACTTAATATTGTATAAATTTGAATATTTTAAATAAATTTCGCTCTGAACATGTTGTTTTATTTTTATTGCATACATTGTGTATGTAGTTACTTGATCTCAACTTTTCGTGCTATGTTACTTACCTCCCTTCAGAAAATAAGTATAATAAAGTCAGTAAGTATAAGTACATAACAGTAATGAAGTACTCTTAAGATCCTCTTTCAATTAACTTTAACGTCGACTATCATTTTATAAAACGTGGTGAAACCGGATTTTAATCAATTAAATGGGTTGAATACGGAAACCACGCATTAGTGATCGTCGCCTAGCTGATTCTTATCTATAGCCTCGACTCTTAGCTACAATGTATTCATGAATCTGGTTTCTTACAAATCCTTACTAATATTATAAATCAGAGAGTGAGTTTGTTTGTTTGTTTGTTTCGCTTTCACGCCGTTACTACTAAACCGATTGCTTTGAATTTTTGCAGACGTAAATAGGGTACTTTTTATCCCGGAAAAATTTAATATTCTAGAGGGAATACGAAATTATTGGTATAGATGGCGCTGTGTGTATTGGTATATGTCACATAGGCTACTTTTTATCATTTTGTGACGCGAGCGAAGCCGCGGGTAAAAGCTAGTCTAAAAATAAAAACGTAAGCGATATACCGATATGCCTATGTGTTTGTTGAAAGCATTGCTATATTATTTAAACATTTGGTTGGTATGAAAGTAAGATAATGTTAAAACAAACACTGCTAATTATGGGTGTAGCCAGCAAAGCAAAGGAGAAGTAGCCAGCTATGGGAGGAGCATTTAATCTAAAAAGAATATTTCTACAGCACAAAGCAGTGCCGGCGTTAGGGGGAGGGGGGGGCGTGATAGGGCGATGGCCCAGGGCGACAAAATTCAAATTCATTCAAATTCTGGGGGGCGCCAAGGTCTGAACTTGGAGTCTCTTGCCTCTCCTGGTGCAAACCCTCAGCTGTGCTTTACGCTCTGTGCATATGCATTTTTTTATTGAGATTTTTTTAGATGAATTTTTTGAGGGTTTGTGGTCCGCGTCGTTAGCTCTGGGTAACGCGTAAGGAAAGGTGAAATTCTTAATATGATTTTACTTGATATTGCTTCCCTGAAGTGGACGCCACATTATTTTCGCCCGGAGTGTCAGTGGCCCTTACGCCGGCTCTAGCACGAAGTGGCAATACATTCCTTGCTAACCAAAAGCCCGACAAATGAACGAACTTGCTACACATAACATATTATTATTTAGATAAATAAAAGAAAGTTTAATAAATGTTCAACAGTTTGGACGAATTATACATACACCGTTATTTGATGTAGGTAAGACAAACTTGAAAGCCAAACCAGTTTTTAATTTTGTGTTTATGTTAGCAGCATTTATTTTTGTAATGTCCGTAATTTCTACCACAAAAATTTGTAATTACTAATGGTACTCAATAAAAGAATTCTTTTATTATCTAACTGCGTTTAAAAGACGAACTTTAACCCCCTCTTTTTTATGAAGTCGGACTCGCTACACGTTGTACGGCAGCCAGTTACTCAGTCACCGCGCCAACCGTGATGAACCGTTAAAATGGGGTGATTAGTGTTTGAGCGGCAAAAGAGACAGAAGAAGGGTGAATAGATATATGGAAATTCGTCATAGCATCAATTCACCCCTCTTCAACTCTCGATCCCTAGTCACCCCATTTTACTGAACATTAAGTAAACAAATGATTTATGAATATTTGCAACTACCTTCAGCCAGTGGCTTCGCCCTTGTTCCAAGGGGTAAAATGTAGCTTATGTATTACTCCAGGTCATAAACTACTTTTGTTTCTCATACCGTCCCCTTCAGTCATTTTGATGTGACTGAGTAAAAATAATACCCACAAACTTACTTTATAATAGCAGTTCAAGCTAATTTCGACCATATCGGCCCTACAGTTACTGCGGTCTGCGGTGCGGGCAACCTAACATTCAACGGACTTGTATTTCCGTTTGGTACAGTAATTGTGTCTAGGGATTGAGACGCATAATTTAGTTTGTTTTTAGTGTATGTTACAGCCAAAATCACGTTGACTGTGACATACACTAAAAACAAATTGTAAATGTGCAATTGTAATGTAATTTGATATTTTTCATAATGACCAGAAATTTGATATTGACAAACTTGAATTATTTATAATCACTTAATGACCAGTCGTTATGAATATTAAAATAATCACTTTGGCTGTAACATACCTACATATTATAATAATCTGTGGAAGTGTAAATTCGGTGCATTAAAAATATTGAAAAAATAAATAATAGGGTTACTAAACAGAAATAACAGAATCCAAGAATCTGTTATTAGAAACAATTTTGTGTCTATCTGCATGTTCACACGCAAAAACTACTGGTCCAATTATGATTAAACTTGGTACCTTTGATATCCTACCTACTACTTTGATATCCTGGGATCACACTAGGTACTTTTTATCCCGAAAAAGTAGATAGGTTTGATTATAGTCATGAATGTATACTTGACTTAATAACCTGTGTCCCCTAGATGGGGCAGAGGTCATCGTGAGCTACTCCATGTCATACCGATGCTCGTCGCTTCTGCCAGTACGGTGCGACGCCAGGTTTGCCGAGGACGGCCACGCTTTCTTTTCCCTTGGGGATTCCAATCCAAGGCTTGCTTGGGTATGTGGTCAGGATCCCTTCGGAGCCCTATCCATCCCCACTTGCGGCGCTTGATCTGGCGGTCGATTGGGCTTTCGTGGCATTTCTCCAAAAGCTCTACGTTGGAGATGGTCTCGGGCCAGTAAATTCCGAGAATGCGACGCAGGCATCGGTTAACGAAGACTTGAAGTTGGCGTGAGATGTCTTTAGTCACCTTCCACGTTTCGCACCCATAGAGCAGAACGGATTTTACATTGGACCCGAAGACTTTCAGTTTTATCCTTCGGGTCAGTTTCCGTGACTGCCCCACAGATCTCAGCTGCGCAAAAGTAGCTCGGGCTTTGGCGATCCTTGAAGTGATGTCCTCTTCAGTACCTCCAGTCTCTGACACGACGCTCCCGAGGTAGGAAAATTTGTGGACACGTTCCACTACCTCTGTGCCAATCAGCAACGGTGTAGGATCTTCACACCCGTTCTAATTTCTTTTGTCTTTCGGGTGTTAATTCTCAGGCCAGCTTTTGCCGCCTTCTGCCGCAGGTCGTCCAATTTAGCTTGCATGTCGGCGTGGGTATGACTCAGCAGGCATAGGTCATTGGCGTAATCCAAATCTTCCAAGAAGTTGGATAATCCCCACTCTATGCCGCGATGCCGATTGTCGGTGGTGCGAAGCATGATCCCATCCAGAACGACCAAGAAGAGAAGCGGTGATAAGAGGCAGCCTTGTCGGACACCCGCGTGCACGTGCACCATTATGTCATCAGAGATAAGACCGTCATGTGCCACTTTACAGGAATACGTCCTATACATACTCTCCAACAGCCGGACGATCTTTGGCGGAACCCCCATGTCCAGTAGACGGGACCAGATGCTGGACCACTTCAACGTCTCAAAGGCCTTTTCGAAGTCGACAAAAGTAAGATAAATCTCCCTTTGCCATTCTGTTGCCTGCTCTAGAATGAGACGAAGAGTGTTGATCTGGTCTGTACATGAACGGTTTGATCGGAAACCTGCCTGCTCCCTTCGTAAAAGAGGATCCACGGCCTTTGACAGCCTATCCAGGAGAATCTTGCAGAAAACTTTTGCGGGAATAGAGAGCAGTGTAATACCTCTCCAGTTATCGCACAGACTAAGATCTCCTTTCTTAGGTACTGTGATTATACGCCCCTTGTTCCATTCATCAGGAAATTCCTCCAGCGTCCAGACTTTTTAAAAAAAAAGGCGTCAGGACGTCGACAGCGGAGGATAAGTCGGCTTGAAGCATTTCCGCAGTTATCAAGTCGAGTCCTGGTGCTTTTCCTAATTTCAAGGAGCGGATGGCTTGAGCAACCTCACTAGCTGATGGAGTCTCCCCGTTGATGTCGAGTAGCCGAGGTGGTGTGGAATTAACATCTAGTGCACCAGGTGTCGCTGTGGCCTACATGCGAAAGACCTCCTTAAAGTGTTGACGCCAGCAAAGCAGCTGCCCTTCGGATGTTGACGTGGCCTTATATAGCTCCTTTAGGTTCCCAGCGTTTGCAGTCTGTTGAGCGTGATCAGCAATACCGTCAGCCCACTGTCTCCTATCTTTGCGGGTGCTACGATAGATTTCTTTCCGCTTCTGACGGTTCTGTGCGTTCAAGTCGGCTCTTATAGCGTCATCCTGGGTCTCGAGCAAGCTCAGGTGAAACCTTCTTCTGTCGTCAATCAGACTTCATGGATGCTGCGACATCCACTCCTCCCGCGAATGAGCCGTTTTGTGCCCCAGAACGGCGGAGCTGGTTTCTGTATAGACCACTTTAATACGGTTCCACTCCTCTTCCAACAAGTCTCGGGAGCATCTCGGTATCGAGAGCAGCAAAACGATTGCGTAATTCGAGACGGAACAATTTACGCGTCTCGTAGTTATTCAATTTGCTGAGCTCAAATCTTCTTCCGACCCTGCCAGTGCCTCCAGCCGTATGAGCCACAGCAACCTTGAGCCGAACTTCAGTAACTATGAGATGGTGGTCGCTGTCAATATCGGCGCCCCTGCGGTTGCGGACATTAAGTAATGAGGAACGCCATTTGGAGCTAATGGAAAGATGGTCAACTTGGTTCCTCGTGACGCCATCATGAATGTATAGATGGATCCAAAGAATAAGTATAGGAGTAGATGAATCTTATTTTGATGATCTAATTAAACAAATTGAACAGTATGGTAAAATGGAATATTATTACTGTGTGTTAATTTGTCCCCATTATATAAATACATGCAAGGAGTGGTATTTATGTGGCAGTTTGTACAACAAAAGAAACTTCATGTAACATTCTATCGAATTTATTAAATCTATGAAAGTGGTACATCTTATATAAACAAATGAGTTATGAATATTTACAATGAATCTTAGTTTCATGATCAAATAATGAAACAAATTGAACAAAATGGTAAAATCGAATATTTTTACTGTGTGTAGGTATACAGCTTAATACTAATTTCATAAGAGTCAAGCCCAAAGAGATGACATGTCTATCTCTAAATAGCTTGATCTAGTGTACTTACTGTTTCCACTAACTCTCATTCTGTCTAGCAATCAATATTCTCGTTTAATTTGTGTAATACAATAATATTCATAAAATAATAATAGTAATCACTCCTACGACCTCTACTATGAATAAAAGACCACACTCGAAACTTGTAGCTTTTAGAATAAAGAATATACATACAGAGCTTGTTTAGCTTGTTTTATGAAAATAATTATTCTGTTCCAATCATTTTAATATTATTTACAGCTTTATTACAAATATTCCTACTCCCTTATTATTACAATTATTTCTATCTATGTAGGAAAATTGAAACCAGCTGGGTAAAGTGCCACTAATCAACTAATTTATAATGTCAATTTATGTCAGCAGAAAATGACATATTTGGCAAACTGATATTGGGAACTGAAGTACTAAAAGGACATAATTATTTTGGTCACAGCTTATGTATGAACTGAGTAAGACAATTACAGATTATACGGAGCAGTCTCTTTGGGCTCAATAGCTTCATCTTACTACTATGGTACAACAGTTTACGGTAGTGGGTGCTGGCTGGGAGTGAGACCTCCATGCTCCGGGCTGTGCTTCTGCTTTTTCCTCTTCTTTTCCTTTTTCCTCTTCTTGCGCTCTTTATCATCATCATGACGCTTCTGCTTTTTGTGTTTCTTCTCATATGTGTCTGGGTTTGAGGAATCTGTTGAGGTTAAGGTTTATTTATAGAAGATACATCAATAACTAGACACAATAAAAAATATTATGTTATCAACAGTATGATAAATCACGGGTAATTTTAATTGCATTATCAAATCAAATTAATTAACCTTTCTGCAATAATTTACTCAATAATGTATAAAACTATTCTAAGGCAAAGTTAACATTGAAATATTAATTTAGATAAGGAAACTGTCTACCCTAACAGAACAGTGTGAGTATAAACGTGTATGATAATTGATAATGCATACCTTGCAATGGTGTCTCTTGACCAGGCGGGACTCCATCCTTGTGCTTGTGTTTCTTGTGCTTAGTCTTATGTCGCTTTGGTGGGGTTGCACTTACATATCTGTACTGTTCAGGCAGAGGGCCTGGATGCAGTCGGAATCCAGCTAGCTGAGCACTTGATAGTGGCAACAGTTCTTTGCCACCTATTGGCCTCTTCGCTATTACTGAACCTAATGTACTATTATCTTCCTGACCAGGCCCATCAAGAATTCCAGGCAGATTAGGTAGAAATGAAGACAGAGATTCCTTGAGTTTTTTACCATTAAATTTACTATACGAGTGTTCGAGTCCATAATAAGCCATTAAATTAGTTGCTCCTGTGAGTTCACATTCTCCTGTAAATCCATAGAGTCGTAATGTTATACATTGCTTGTAAATAAACAATAAAATGTTAACGTTGTGAAGTGAATTTTTACCTGGAGGTTCTTTCATCAAATAGAATGGTCCACTATGCACTATTGAAGGGTTCTTGCCCAGTGAGATAGTAGTTTTGAGGGTTCCAGAGGAATCCTGACGAGACACCACTGGTGACCTCGCGCCTCGCGGCGACGACTTGGGGGAATACGGTTCTACTTTTCTAAACTGATCAGACATCATCTTGTATCTGCATTGTCTACATAAGAAACGTAAAGAAAAGAAAATCGCACTAAAAAAATGATAAAAACTTCGGACCCTCTGGTTGAGCCAAGAGCTTTCTTGACAAATTAGCAAAAAATATCATAGAGTCAAGAGTACTAGTGATGGAGGTCCCTTTAGTATGTAACACATTTAGTCGATTAATTAAGTATACTAAACACCTAAAATTCTGTTACTATCCGAAGAGTTATAAAGTTTTCTTTTTTAAAAAGCATGAGATTTGTAAAGTTTTTACAGAATACTTTATCAAATATTAATTTACATTTCGCTTAAACATGTAGTTAATTCACTAAATTAACTATAAATATAGAATTCTGGAGTGTGACACAGCACAGTAAGCGTTATACTGTATGGAATATACACACATTAACACGAAGCATACCTATCTCTCATTTCCATTAGACAGTCTGGTAACGTGGCGTGGTCAATAACGTTAGGTAGTAACCATATAGTAACCCATTACAGACGGACACTTAAATAACCTACGGACATTTTGGTGCTTCAATTAAATGATATTATGTCCGCCTTTTTTTCAACGTCTTCGGGAAAAGCCTGTTTTTAATCCTCTTAAATCGATTATTATTATTTTAGTCGATTAAACAAAAACTGTCTATGATTTAACAGGAGACTGACAGGTGAAAGTTACTAAAAATCAAAACATATTTGAATGGGACCTAATCAGTGTCACAATTTTTACTTTTTTGGTCCTCAATGTAAAAAAATACATTGAGGACCAAAAAAGTAGACCAAAATAGATTTAATTTACAATGAAATAAAATATTTTACTGTCTATGGTAAAAAACCACGTGTTCATGATTAGCGCCATGCTTGGTCATAGAAGTTTAAAAAAAATAAATTTAAGAAGTAAAAATTTAGTCTATGGTACATGAATTAGCTTCTCGTAATACGCTACGATTTTCGATAATGTGTTTGGAAATAAACAATTTATTGTGCTTAATTTAATGTTGTTTGTATTCAGTTGTGTAATATAAAACCTTAAAAATGTTTGTGAACTGTGATTTGAGTGGTACAAATAAAGAGCAACACTTTTGATATCACGATTCCTCGCTGTGCGAAGTGACGCCATTTTACGGGAATGATCAGCCCGCGGCTGCCTCATAGTAAGCCTGATGTAAGGATTGCTCTGATCAAACGGATGCATGGATACGAATCTATATTCTTGCACTCGTGCTGGACGGACGAATTCCGAGGTAAAGATCATATATTTATATTATTGTTGTTACGATGATAATTCAAATCATGTTTCGATTTCCTCTTGTTTGAGCGTCTTTTGTTTCCTAGTAGTCACAAGCACGTGTTAATTTTTTTTCCAGAAAACTATGGAAGATGGTAATATTGTCAATACGAAAGACGATAAAAGCTCAGCAGCGTCATTGACAAACTTGTACGGTGAACGGCCAGCGAAATTTACCGCAAATGGACATGAATTCGCTGGCGAGCAGTCTAGTCCGCCAGACGAGCAGTACGAGCAACGTCGGCAGTCTACCGAATCTACTTCATACGACGACAAATGCAAAAGACGTATCAATCCTCTTCGAATACACCTTGGAAAAAGGCCATTTGTTGATAACTCTCTTCAATATTATAGCACAAGTAAGAAAAGAAAGTCTTCAAATAAAGCTTGCGATAGTAGCACACCAGCCAATTCAGTGCCCAGAGTGCCCAAACTTATTCCTAAGCAGTTAGACCGTAGTCAATTTCACAATGTTCCATCACAGTCTGAGACTGATGCTATTAGTGAACGTGACAAACCCGTGCCTCGGCTTGTGCCTAAAAGCCAGTTGCTACAGTTCAAAAAGAGTAAAGCAGAAAAGAAACCCCAGCTTAAGGAATACGCACAGAGCTTGGGCTTGCAACCCATGGTAAAGTTCAAGTGCCGGAAATGCTGTTCAATGTCATTTAAAACTTTAGCCATGTTGAAAGAACATCAATTAGTATGTCGAGCACAAGCAAAAGAACCTGCACTCAGCCCGGAGGCAGCTCCGTGCCCAGAACCAAATGCGAGTGGGCCGTCTAGAGTTACTAGGAAATTGTACTTGTGCTCGGCATGTGGTCATTATTATGAAAATTGGAATCTCTTTCTTCATATGAAAGAAGTACACAACAGACATATTTGTTTATTTTGTTTGGGTATGTTTTCTAAAGCAGAGAAGCTCTCATCCCACCTTTCAAATAAACACAATGTTAAAGAGTTTAATTATGAGAGCAAAGAGGAGTTCTTCAATGTTTTTAGTGGAACCTTATATTTGATGTGCTGTGCATGTGATGAAATTTGTAGTGAAAAAGATGACTTTTTCAACCATGATTGTAATAATGTTATACCAAGACCCGTGCCTATTCTTGTTAGCAAAGCAGTTAAAACAAATAGTGTAAAGAATGTTAAAAGCTTCAATGAAGTGTCAACCAATGGACCAACAAGTTTAACAAAAGAATCAATAAAGCCAATTTCTGATCGAAGAGATATCAGTGATGGCAAACCTGAAACAGTCACATCACAAACACATAAATCTGCAGCTATAATCCCTGAAACAAGCAGTGCTAGTGAACCTGTAATTAGTGATAATAGTATTACCTCTGACTGCTCACTACTTACTAGTAAAGATAATGCTATTGATTCAGGAATGGAACTTGAAAACTCAGACTCAAAGCCTGTTTCAAGTCCCATACAGCAAAATAATTTCAGCCCTGAGCAAAACAAACATATTCTTTCCAATGGGGATGAGAATTTAGAACATTCAGATGATAGCGATTCACCAATCTCAGATGAAATTAATGAACTAATTAGAGAACCTACACCTGTTCACAATGATGAATCAACTTGCACTCCTGTAGAAAAGGAGAAAGAATGTGGTATAAAGTTAAAATTAAGTTTAAATAATGCAAGCTCTCCTGTTATAATTAATTCGACAGTAGATCCCACCATTGGACAACAAAAAGTACATAAACCACCATCTAGAGTGAGACGGCCACCAAAGCGTTATGAAAAGGATGTAAATGTTGATCCAGTACTGCCTCCCAAAACACAGTCAATAAAAATGACAATATGTGATAGAGCTGATAGTCCCTTTGTAAAGACAACCATATTTGAAAATAATAAAGAAACTACTCTAAAAACACTTCTAAATAACAACTTTGAAACTCCATCTAAAACTCCTGAAATTAAGATAGAGAACACTGTTAAAACTACAATTTATGATAACAAATTAGAAGAAATTAATACAATGAACAGGGTACCCAAATTAACAGTGAGAGTTCCTAAAGAACTGTTGGATAAAGATTCATCTAGTGATTACTCTTCTGACAGTGATGTAAGTGATAAACTGACAGTAGATGTAAATAAACCTATTAGTGAAGGAACACAAGATAAAATTAAAGATGAGCCAGTGATTGGGCATCCACCTATTGAACCTCTAACACCACCTGCAGAGGTAAAGCCTGAAGAACCTTTACAAGTAGATGAAGATATTCAAGTGGATGATGAAAAGGATGATATCAAGTTGAAGCCAGAAATAGATCAGGAAATGGACCTAGATCCACCTGTTGAACCTACCATTGAGGAGCCAACTATCCCTGTCACACAACTTTCTCTTGACCGGCCTCTGGATAAATATCCTCTTAAAGATCTTTTAAAAGTGTTCCTATCATCTACCATATATAGCTGTATATATTGCAATCATGTACGCAAGATTGCAGTAAATTGTGAGCAACTTGCTTTGCACATGGTAGCCCAACACAGATTTGCAGCAACTGTAGATAGCATCACTGCAGAGGAACTAATGCCTGAAACTATTACTGCTAAATTGAAGTCAGGTGCTCCTGAACTAAATATGGTCTACATAAATTTAGACTCTTATGACAGTGTCGAAAAGTGTGATGATGTTCAATATGACTATATGTTTGAATGTTTTCAATGCTATTTCAAAACTGCTGTACACAAAGATCTCTATTTACATAATCGTAAAATGCATCAAAAAACTATTTTACTGTGTGTAATGTGTAAATCTAATTTTTATAGTTATAGTGAATTAATATGTCATTTATGCCCTGGAACATATGATTCTGAGTATGAAGTTAAGTTTAGATGTTGTTTGTGCAATGTAGATGCCATCCCATCACCATTCAGATTAATGGTACACCTGCGCAAGATTCACCACACATGTGATGTCTGTTTGGAGCTTTGTCACAATCAAGCTCGACTATCTAATCACGTTTGGAAACATAAATTGCATCATTTGTGCTATCGGTGTGGCATTGCTTATAGGAATAAGCCAGACATAACCAATCACTTGTTTTGGAAACATGGCACTGAAAGTGTTTTGTGTAAAAGATGTTTACAGAAGAAATGGCCCCATGTCTATCACTTCTGCACACCTCCTGCTGTATTTGTTTGTGAGGAATGTAGTCTACAATTTACAAAAGCTGTATATTTAAAAGTTCACAAACGTTTTCACTCCAATGAGTTTCCCCATGTTTGTACAGAAGAAGGCTGTACTGAAAAGTTTGTTTCTAAAAAGCTTCTTAACAAACATGTAGACGACCATATGAAGAAATCATTAACAGAAAACTTTAATGAAATTAAACCCAACATGTTAACTGAAGTATTACCGGATTCATCTAAAGAACCAATCCCTATAATTGATTTGGTGGATACCAAACCGAAAGAGGAAGCTGGCACATCAGACGTTAAAGCTGAATTAGGGACTGAACAGCTTACTAAAAAAGAAAAGAAAAAGAAGTTAAAAGATAAGGATGCCCTTTTGCTTGATGTGAATTTACCAGCACTAAATCTTTCTGAGAGTGACAGCAGTGATGAGTCAGATAGTGGTTTTCCATCAAAGGTCAAAGATGTAAAACTTGTAGACAAAGTAAAGCAAGAGGAAGATTCTAAGTTGGAATCAATGGAAACAAATTACACTGATATAGACATTGTGCCTCAGACTGAAGAAAAAACAGAGACCACTGACGAAAAACCTAATGAGCAACAAGTGTTAGACATATGGGATAACTTTAAAAAATACCAGGCAAAAGTTGAGAAGACTAAAG